CTTCGTTCAGAGAACCATGGCGGGAAAACCTACCAGCACTTTTCTTACATGAAAGTCCGTAGAGCCTAAACTCATCGACGCTGCTGCCACAGGGACATATACATTGAGGAGGTTGACAAATTGCCGCTCCTAGACGGATTCTTATGGTGATGCGCAAGTTTTCCTCAAGCGGTGTGCCGAGATTACTTGATGGTACAGTGTGTAACCAGTAACTTGATTCCTTATTCGAAACAGCTAGAAGGCGCGCCTGATCTTGGCCACTGTGGAAATTTTGAAATAAATTTTTCTGGACATGCCGTACCTACGGAATATCCCACTGTTTTTGTTGGTTAACTTCGAGTGGGACATTTTCGCCATTTTTGCCTTGCCTCCGCAGCAAAGCACAGGTCTACTATATTATTTAAAATTGTTACATAAGCCATTGACACTGTGCATGCAAGGAAAGCAGACAATGTGACGCTAGAAAGATTTCTTACATCAATATCACCAAATTTTATAGGTAAAGTAGCTTGATTCCAGGCTGATGTACTTAATCTCAAATTTAGAATTTTTTCTAAAGCTATTTTAAGATTATAATCAATATCTTTTAAAATATCCGAACATTTCCATACTGGACCTGAGCGTATTAAGTATTTAAATTAAGATACAATATATTTCAATATTTTAAAATAGTAAGGGTAATATGGAGTAAAATATACAATTTATCAACTTGATTTAAAAATTGATCAAATTTTGTTTTTAAAACAGGTTTAATACTATCGAAAAACAATGGTGCACCTAGCAGGTATAGCGATTCCGCATTGGCAGTTTTTATTCCTGGAGAGATATGATTGAAATTTGTTATTAAAGTTTCTCTGTTAGAATTAGATAAATTATTGGAAATAAATATTTCCCATTTATTGCTATTTGGTTCAAGACCAATATATTTAAAATTTTGAAAAAAGAGATGAGGACGCCATCTGCTTTACCTCCCAGTGTACCGTCGTCCAGGTATCAGACATACACACACACCATACACACACATATACACACACACATACGCACACACACACACACATACACACACATACATACACACACACACACACATACATATATATATATATATATATATATATATATATATATATATATATATATATATATATATATATATATATATATAACTCTTTACGGTAAATGTTGATCAGACGCGACTTCACGCGAGCACTTTGTTGATCCGAAAACGCATGTTGATCCGGCGCCTTTTGTTGATCCAATATGCATCTCTGGTAACTAATGTAGCTCCGACCGGATGATCAACATCTTCACTCACGAGACTGTTTGCTAGCGTTGGCCGAAGTTGATCCGATATACAAATCCACCTTGCGATGGTTACGGAAAATGTTGATCCGATTTAAATGAGCCAATCAGAGCACAGCAAACGATAAGATAAACGATCGGATTGGCTGTATGCACTCGACGTTGCCGTTTCGTATCTTTGGCGGTACAAGCTACAGATTAAATGCGTGTTATGTAATGCATTCAGGATGCTGTTTGGTCTACCTCGTTATTGTAACGCGCCGGGTATGTTCGCGGATGCGCGTGTCGATTGTTTCTACACCACCATGCGTAAACGATGCACATCCCTGGTGCGCAGGGTGCGGGCCAGTTCCAATGGTATCCTGAGGGCATTTTCTGACAGGTTTGAGGTCAGTACCTGAACCATTGTCATATGGTGCAAGTGCTGAGTAATCGGGCCTGCCTTATATATAGTTTTAAAATTAGGTTAATAGTTTTAAGTTTTAAGAAAATTAGTTTTAAGATTTGTATTATTACTAACCACTATGATCCTTGTGGTCGAAATAAACGACTTTTTTTAACGAATTACTCGACAACGCCCCTTCTTGTAGCGGAAGTGGTGGCAACGGCGACATAAGGTATTCGTCTGAGTACGTGTTTGCGTGCGTGCGCGTGCGTGTGTGTGTGTTTGTGTGTGTGTGTGTGTGCGTTTGTGTGTGTGTGTGTGTGTGTGTGTGTGTGTGTGTGTGTATGTGTGTGTGTGTGTGTGTGTGTGTGTGTGTGTGTGTGTGTGTGTGTGTGTGTGTGTGTGTGTTACCATAAACCAGTTAACATGTTTGGCGCGTTCTACATCTACATAATCAAGTTTTTTAAGGACGCGTTTACAAAATTGATAGGTATAGAATCGAACTATTACATGAGATATTATCATGAGACCTTACCTCCGGTCTTGATGGAGTGACCTCAAAATGTAATTCGGAATTACTAGTGGAACTCCTGGACTAGTAGAACTGGGTGTGCTGAGTTTGGGCTCGTTTTGTTAGTTATGATGAGTCCTTACCTCCGGACTTGCTGAAGTAACCTGAAGGTGTACTTCGGTATCTAACACTGTAACACCTGGACTAGTAGAGCTAGGTATGCCGAGTTTTTTTTTTTTTTTGCTATTTATCATAAAACCGTAACAAAAGAAAAGTTCTTTTCACTTTATCTCTAGTACCAATAGGTATCCAAGCTGATATTCGGAAAAATGAATAACCTCGTAGTAACATCTTTAGGGGCAGTATCGATATCTACTTACCAGCCACACTGTTTTTCGCTGTAACCAACTGTCCTTTATATGAGCCTCACTTGCCCTCACGCGGTAACCACTTTACTGCACTCCAGTGCACCCACCAACATCTCTGCCACCTACGCCTAAACATCTACCACCGCACCCCTCTCTAAGCTTTCGTTCTCCACCTCCGCTACCTCCGCCTCCACCATAAACTCTGCTCCATCCGCCTCAACAATAAACTCCACTCCCTCCGCCGCCACCACCACGTGCCGTCACTATTCTTTCCGCCTCCAACACAATTCCCCGTTTCCACTATTACCGATTTCACCACAAATTCCACTCCTCCGCCTTCACCACATACTACGCTGCATTCACCTCCGCCTCCACATCTCCATTCTCCGCCTCCGTTTTCACACACACACACACACACACACACACACACACACAATACACACTCAAACACGCATTCAGACGAACACGCGCACGCACACCCACCCGCACGCACGCACACGCACGCGCATACACACACAAACACGCACTCAGAGGAACACACACGCACGCACCCACATCGCATGCACGCACGCACATGCACGCGCATATACACACGCGCGCTCTCGCGCACTCACATAAATACAGACACACACACGCACACCTAAGCACACACACACACGTACGCACGCACGCACACACACACACGCACAAACACAGACACAAATTCACACACACATACAAACACACGCGCGCGCGCACACATACATAAACGCACGCGCGCTCGCGCGCGCAACACACACACACACACACACACACACACACACACACACGAAAAGAACACACACCCACACACACCCACACACACACACACGAACAACAGTTAACACACGCACGCACACACTCACACACGTACAAAAAAACACAACAGTGCACACACGCACATATACACACACACACGCGCACGCACATGCGTTCACACGAACGCACATACACCCACACGCACGCGCGCACACAAACTCGTATAAACACACACACACACACACACACTCGAGTGAACGCTACAATTAATTTATTTGTACACATTTTTTTTTTAAATTTGTAAAACACTAAAATTAATTTGTAATAAAGTACTATCAATCTATATATATATATATATATATATATATATATATATATATATATATATATATATATATATATATATATATATATATATATATATATATATATTCAACTTCCCTTTGAAAAACTGTCATAAGACGCTGAAAGCTAGTTTTGAGAAAAAAACGATTTAAATTATTTTTCGATAAATTAATGCTATTGTGACTTATATTAAAAAAATAAATGAAATTTGTTTAAAAAGTAAATAAAATAAAAATTACCCAACTTATGACACTTTTTTACATTATTATGGTAGCAAAATAAAAAAATATCGTAACACAAAAAATATTTTTATTTATGGTTCTTCTTAATATTAAATCTAATCTTTGGAGCAACTTTAGGAACTTTCACAATTACCATAATCAGTCTAAAGGCAAAGTTAAAAAACACACTAAAAATTGTTAATACTTAAAACTTAAAGATTACAAATTTGTGTAAAATTCGCTGTAGAAATTAGGTATGTGATTACTCTGTACCAGACTTAAGAGGTCTCTCTTTTTATTTTCTTTAATTTTCGGTTTCGTCCTATAAGCTTTTTTTAGTGATATTATTTGAACGGGCAATTGCTTTCTTGTGATTTCTACTTCTTTAAAATCAATTTCTTTAAAAGAATATTTATAGTACACTTTCTTAAATTCGCCCTGAATCACTTTTAAAACCTTTATTTCAGAGGTTTTAAAATTTTTAGAATTCAAACCAATGGTTTCCGATAGGCTTTCATAGAATAAAATTCTCTGAAGCTCATCTCGTTTACTCTATACGGGTTGCCCTTCTTTTTGGCGTTCCTTATAATTTGAGCATATTGGCTCGGAACATAGATGGGACCGGAGCAGAGGTTCTTTTTGATAGCTTTTTCTATCACGGAATGTACGCTATCTCCTTCATTTTGTGTATGGCCAGTAATAAGGTATTTATGTGTTATAGATTTAATTTTAGAATGTTTCATCAACGCGTATATATACATGGAAAAAAGAAATTTGTTTTTCTGCTGGCCGCAGCAATTGTCGGAGTAAAATACAAATTCAATACCTGAACCAGCATAATTTTCCATTACTTTGTCAATAAAGTTCAGGACACAAGACCCAATCTCATCTGCCCCTCGATTGGCCTCCCCTTCGTGCCAGAGGTAGCATTCGGTGTGATCAGGGGAACCAATTTCACTTATAGTGAAATTGAAGTTATTTAATTTCGATTTATAATAGAATACTGATACATCTCCTCTTGGAGTTTGAAGAACAGCCTGAAGGTCATAGACAGCTGAGATGTAATCATTGCACGCTTTATTTTTATCATTCTATTTTTCTATTCTAGATAAATCCTTTTCTTCCTGATGTAACATGTACTTTTCCTGTAGTTCCTCTTTTGCAGATCCAGTTGCATTTTCGTAGCTTACACACAACTCACAACGGTCCTTTTTAGGAGTAAAAAAACTTATATTAAACTCATAATTAAAAACAATTTGCATACATTTCGTAGTGTGCTGCACTAACTCCTTGCTCCAAACATTGTGCTTTATAGTCTGCATGTAAGTCTGCTAAACATTTACCACCGTCGATATATTCTCGGCTAGAATCTTTCCTGATATAGTGGCTTTCAATCCGTGGAATCGAATTTATGTGATCTCTGACTGCTTGCTTAATCGATTCATCGACTTTTTTATGATTGCCATGTTTACCTCTCTTTTCTATGTCAATAAAACCTAGATCTCTTTTCTGAAAAACTGTTCTTATAACGCGATCATTTACATCTAACGTATTCATAAAAAACTTCTTACAAACCCGTATCTTTTCATTGTCAACGACAAAATAGTAAGCATTATTATAACCTCGAGGTTTTTCTTTTCCCGAAAAACGGAATGCGGGCACTATAGCCTTGGTAGAGGAGTTAATAAAGTTTCTTTGAAGGGTAATATCTCCTAATCCCCAATATTTAGCAAAAATCTTCTTCCTGCAGTCCTCGTCAATTTTAGTAGAACATTCCATTTTGCATTTATCGCCACAAGGTGGTTTCAAAGAACGTGCAGGTATAATTTTTGGTTTTAGATCTAGAAATGTAACATTTGCCAGTATTTCGTAATTTTTTCGCTTTATTACTAAGCCACTCTTCAACTCTTGCAACGCGCTTTCTACTGTTCTTAACATTACTATTTTCTTCTATTTCGTTCATGAAAATATTCTGTTCGACTATTTCATCTTGGTTTATTGATTCATTCTCATTTTGTACTGCTTCTTGTATTTCTTCGTTATTTGTTTCAGCAGAAGTCTGGATCGAAACTGGTTCCTCTTGACCGTTAGTTGGTAATACTATTATTCGTTATCGCAGTTGACGTAGAAGTGCTCGAAGAACTGCTAGAAGAACTAGATGACCTACTGGAGGAACTAGACTTGTAGTGAGGATCTTTTACTGAATCATCGTCATCTTCCGAATACGATTCATAAGCAGCGGGTAGTGGCTCGGTATATGAAGATTTATGCTCGTATATATGAAGATTTATATCGTATGATTTAGGCTCGGTATATGCGGATTGTAACTGCAATGGGCAATAGGCTCAGCTTCTTTCCAAGCTTCAAAAGTTGTAACATTATCTGAATTTTCTGAAATAAAACAAATTCATAAACTAAGCAATAATAATAACTTTCAAATTAAAGTTAACATTAAAAGTTTATATAAATAACTTACTGAAACATTCTTTGGTATTATCATCCTTAGGAATATTATTTTGTACTATCTCCTCGGAATCTTCTGTAAAAAAAAAATAAACTCACCATAAACATACTTATTAGAACAATTGTTTCCACCTACATAACATATTAATTATTAATTAAGTCGTGCAGCTAGTTAAATTTACCTTTGTTCAGATTGCGGTCACAATTTTCTTTATTTTCATCACTTTCAGAATTTAAAAGTTGTAGTAACTTTTTGCCCCTGCTAACCTTAAATCTGTCACACATTTATATTCTGAAATAAATAAATACAAGTTTAATATGAACAGAACATCAACATTTCCGTAAGTATTGATGTTAATGTAGGTAAATTATACAATAAAGTTATGTAACACTACAGTAAAATTAATACTAAAATCAGTTCAAAACGGCCATAACATATTGATGTAACAAAATTATAGTACCTGTTAGTTCAAAGTAGAATAAAAAAATGTAAAAAACAGACATAACCTATTCAAGGCTACTTTTATAAACATTCGGTAACTAAATTTTGCAAAACAATTATAAAAAAGGTGCTACAAAACAAAATACAACTGTTTTTTACCCAGTTAAAACGTAAAAATATAATACAATGTTGAGTGAAATAGTATCATAACCTATGTTATGATACTTTTTTAGAGTGAAAAATGACATGTTTTCAAATTACAATTGAAAAAAACAGTACTATATTGTGATACTGCTTTTTTACCCAGTTAAAACGTAAAAATATAATACAATGTTGAGTGAAATAGTATCATAACCTATGTTATGACACTTTTTTAGAGTGAAAAATGACATGTTTTCAAATTACGATCGAAAAAAAACAGTACTATATTGTGATACTGCAGTTTTCACTCTTAAATTTACAAGTATTGTGAAAAAACTTACCCAAAATATGGTCACAAAATAGCTTATGGCGATTTTCAAGAGCACTGACACACGTTCACACGACACAAGCTCCGATACGTCACTATTGTTGAGGCGGGAGCGCGCAATATCGCTCCGTAAAAAACCGTCACTTACGCCTCCTAGTTTTTTTTTGTACTACAATTGTGGCGGTTTCATTGATCGATAGAGAATGAAAAACTTAATAAAACTGTATTTAAATCTGTGTTTCTACTTTTTCTTATGTTTCGACAGTTTTTTAGAGGAAAGTCGATATATATATGCCCAAGTGAGAGTGAGCGCGCAAACGCAATGTCATTCTCTGTTTTCGTTTTCGAACATGTTAATTATTGGATCAAGTGGCTACGCTTTTACAAATTTAATCTTTGTTGCATGAATGTTAGAGATATGTGTATGCCAAATTGTGTATTTATTGTTTGCCTATGTGTGATTGCTGCAAGAACCGGCGACACGCGTCCAGATAATAAAAGACAGTATCATAAGAAGGTATTTACCTTACCGTACCTTATTATTTAGATTTCTGTGACATCCACCCACAATACAATATTTCATATTTTTAATGTTTCTTTTTGTCAAAATTTCGAGAATTACGGAACACGATTATTTTCTCACCTCTCCTTCTCTCTATTTTTTTTTTGGAGTTCATGGCCTGGTATCTAGACCTTTAGGCCAGGTCTTGAGTATTTTTATTCGGTTTATTATAATTTCCCCACTGTATTTTTGATAAATTTATATAGAGGCACGTAATAGGATCTATTTTTTAACATATCACTCAGGCGGCGGGAGGGATCTTGCACTGTCACTTGATTTTGCACAATGTCACTTATTTCACTGACAAGAATCAATCTGTCAAATGAAAAGCACCATAGATAAATAAATATGTAAAGCACTCACATATAAATATGAAATGTTCGATATCACCAACAGAATTCTTAAACGGGCTACATACGACACGATATCGGTGGCGATCTAGGGTGGAGTAGTGGGGATGCCTCCTAGATTGCCTCTAAATCGTGTCGTATGTAGGGCCATCCTAAGTCGTGGCCGATATCGCCTCCTTAATCGGCTGGCAGGAGCAAAAATGCTTCCTAGATCAGCCGATGCTTCCTAGATCGGGGCACCGCCCCCTCCTTACTGCGTGTGTGTAGGCGCATCGGCCCGATTTCTTTTGGCAGTCGCTGCCGGCAACCCTCGCGGAAGGAAGTTAACAAAACAGTGATACTGAATGACCTTTTTTATATAACAAAATTTTTACATTTTAATCATATAAACGGAGTAGAAGCCTATGGCACTGATATTTTACAAAAAAACCAAAAAAAAGTGAATAAAATAAATAAATTAATTGAAATTTTATCGAAATTCAAATCATATCCACCCTAGCCTGTGACCCTGCGAAGTGACATGGTCAAGAATGCCTACTAAACTAATTTTTTTATTGCCGTTCGTAAAGTAGAGTGTATGATGTAAGTAAGGAGAAGATAAAGCCTCTCCTCAACAACTAACTCCTATTCCAACGCTATCAACACAAGACCGCACTCATATCTCTTACAACTCCACAAGACCACACTTCGATCTCTTACGTGCCTTCATCCTCTTATCAACAACTAACTTCTACTCCTTCACCATCTCCACATCAACAAACAAGTTATATAAAAGGGAGTATGTCCGAAATTAAAGGTTTCTTTATGTTTAAAAAAAAGATATAAGCTATTTTATTTTCTGATAATTTTACTCCATAAATAAAGATTACATTAAAAAAAAAGTATACATATTATTATACAAAAGTATTTTATTTCCTTGTTTGTTGTGTGTAATACATAACCATATTTTGACCAAAGCAGAAATGAACAAAGAGAAGAAATAACTAAATAGCATAGGTAGGAGAAATTGACGTTTTTATATAAGTGGCGAAATCATTTCTAGAAGGTTATAAAAACTGTCTTCATCCATCCGGAGAAAATTAATCACGTCCTTGGATTAGATGCCATTTAGTACGTTTATGTGGCTTAATTTTTATCTCTTTTGGAGCCATTTTTTCACCCAGCAACTTCTCTTTTTCTATTTTCGAATAAATTAACCCAGATGGCTAATGCCAAACCAACACTGTGGTGTTTTAAGAGAGTCGGAGGTATTTTGAAGAACTCTACCGCATATGCATTCCGCTCCAAGTCCGAACGCGTACTGCTAGGCAGGCCCGTGTGTAAGGTCTACCCCGATAAAAGCCCCGATTTCTTTCCACCCTAGATCGCCACCGATATCGTGTCGTATGTAGCCCGTTTTACAGTAGGTGCAGTAGCTGCTCTCCATTATGCCCAACCGAGCCAGGTGGGCCGGGACGGTGGAGTGACCAAAACGCAGTCTGTTTATAGTCGTAATAAAGTCCCGACTGGTCATTTTCAGTTTGTTATACCATGGTGTTACAGGCAGATTTTCTTGAACATTTCCATACCATTTACCCTTTTGTTCTTGGTCTTGTTTCCAAAATTCGACCCATAAGCTATTGACCTGGTTGTCAATAGATTCATAACAGTCGTCAAAGGTACTTTTACTATGGAGCTAACATCCAACATGTTGGTTCCATCACGTGCAATTTTATCTACTATCTCATTTCCTGTTATGCCCCTATGTGATGGAATCCACATGAAAGAGACCTGTATACCCTTTTGTGCATAACTAAATAACAACTTTTTAATATTATACAAAATATAATTTTTTTTAAAGTCAAATCTGAGATTGGTTAAACTTTGGACCATACTTAAACTGTCTGTTAAAATTAAAAAATTATTAAAACTATTTATATGTGCGATCCTCTTCAGGGCCTCGAGGGCCGCATATACCTCTGCAGTAAAAACACTGCATTTAGGATCCAAAAGAAAACTTTGACCAATCTTGGATTGGGGATCATAGACAGCACTGCGCACAAATAGCTCACTTTTGGTACCATCTGTATACAAAGTATAGTAGTTATTATCGGAAAGAAAACTTAATAATTCAAGTTATTAAAAATTTTTTTAGTAACAATATTGGTCTCAAATATAATACAGGAATATGGGTAAGAGTAGCATGTCCACTTTGATTGTTTAATTACATTTTTAAAATCTTCATTCATTTGTAGTACAATGAGAGGCAATACTGGGAAATAACCTCGTAAAAGCTCACCTCCCGAAGTCTGCTGTGCCGAGGATTGTGCAGGAAAAGGTATTATTTTTTTGAGAACATTATCATTACCAGATAACAGCTTTAGTAAGTATCTCTCTATTAGTAGAAGTCTTCTGAGACACAGTGGCATTATTTTGGTTTCAACTTCCATAGCTCGTATGGGAGTTGAACACATAGCCCCAGTAATAATTCGCAGAGCTTTGTTTTGAATTATGTCTAGTTTTTTTACACTACTACTATTTGTGTAGGCTAAACAACTGTAGTCGAAGTGGCTTCTGACTATAGATTTATACAGCATACTTAAAACTTTGGGGTCTGCACCCCAAGTCACACCAGCTAAACATCTTATAATATTTAAACCCTTAAGAGAGTTAGTTATAATGTGATTGATATGTAAATCAAAACAAAGTTTGTTATCAATGACAACACCCAAGAATTTATGGTTAGGTACAACTGAAATTGGATGATTATTGTAGAGTATGCCATTAGAGGGGAAATCTTTACTAAAAATCATGGCCTTGCTTTTGTTGGGGTTAATCTTTAGAGCCAACCTGTCATTATAATATATGTACAATTGGTCTAAAGCATTATTTATATTATTTACAGCTCTATCTACACTATGGTCTGTACAATATATTACAAGATCATCCGCAAATTGTAGAATATTTACACCTTCTATATTTACAAAATTAAGAATTTGACTAGTATATATATTGTACAGCAATGGAGATAATGTAGCCCCCTGCATTGTACCTTTGGAGACCTTTCTGGGACCATGGAGAATATTATTATATCTTATATACAAAGTTCTATCTGTTAAAAAATTAAATAACCAATGACAAAGCATGCCTGGTATACCAATGTCAGAAAGAACTTGAACCAAAATGCCAGGATCAACATTATCAAATGCACCTTGAACATCCAGAAAAACACAAATACTGGACTTATTATTATTATTGGCATATTTCAGATCTGACAAGAGAGAGATGAAGCTGTCAGCACAACTTCGCCCTCTCCGGAAGCCATATTAAACATGTGGAATGATGTTGTTCGCCTCTACATAATACTCAAGACGCATCTTTATCATGTTTTCATTAAGCTTTCCAACACAAGATGACAATGATATGGGACGATACGAATTAGGATCTTCAGGTGGCTTGTCAGGCTTAAGTAGAGGGATTACA